AATCAATTAACTCAGATGCAAAACCACAATATAGGGATTCTAGAAAGAGAAATGAAAAATGAACTAGGGCTGGGCAAATCTTTCGAACCGAACTCGACGGTTTTTGTTAAATTAAATATCCGAACGGGTATCTGAATTGAGAATCGACGGGTATGGTTCGGTTCTCAATTCTAAACTAAGAACCGAATCTTTCTAATTTTTTTTATTAAATAAATCAAATTATTTTAATTTTAATTTTTTCTAAACAAATTAACTAATTCTAAATCCTATATTTTAAAATCAGATGGGAACTTCCACATTTCACAAATCAGATATTTCACATTTAAATATAAATAAATATTAAATATATAATTTTCATCACAAACCCTAATCAATTTGCTCACTCCTTTCTCTCTCTATATTCCCTTTTCTTCTTCGTCTCTCTCTACACCCACAGCGGCAACCCTCTCTCAGCCAAATACCAAAATCTTGAAAATTCCATTTATTTCAGTCCTAAAAAATCATGGCCATTTCCATGGTTTTCATTGCTTTTATGATAGCAATTTCCATCATTTCCTTGTCGAAATTTCCATTGACTGAAGCAGGCACAAGTGGTTTTTCCATTGATCTAATCCATAGAGACTCTCCACAGTCTCCGTCGTATAATTCTTCGTTAGTGCCTTTACAACGTTCCATCAATGGTTTGATAAGATCATATAATCGTCTCAATCGTTTTACGAAGGATTACTCCAAAAAATCGACAGGAACAGATATTATTTCTGATAATGGTGAATATCTCATGAAATTTTATCTTGGGACACCGCCAGTTCCCATCTTAGCGATATTCGATACTGGCAGTGATCTTATTTGGACACAATGCCAACCTTGTATCCAATGCTTTAAGCAAAAGTATCCTGTCTTTAATCCCGCTAATTCTTCCACATATGAAAAGCTTGCTTGCGGTTCTTCCTCCTGTAAGGCTTTTCCAGATTCAACTTGTGACAAGAATAACAAAACTTGCTTATATTCCCAGTATTATGCTGATGGATCATTTACCAATGGCATAATTGTAAACGAAACCTTTACGCTAGGCGCTACTAAAGGAAGAAATATATCGTTTTCCAATGCTATAATTGGATGTGGAGTTGAAAATGATGGTATATTTAACGCTGGTGAATCAGGCATTGCTGGTTTTGGAATTGGAAACGTCTCGTTAATTTCACAACTAAGCTCTTCAGTTAAACGGAGATTTTCTTATTGCTTGTTGTCGGATTCATCGGAGGCCTCAAACTCCGGTACACTGAATTTTGGTAAAAAGGTGTCTGGTCCAAGGGCCGTATCAACTCCTATGGTTCTCAAAACCGGATCAACTTTCTATTATTTGACATTGGAAGGAATCAGTTTAGGGAATAAGAGATTGGATTTCTTCGATCCCTCGATCATGACAAATGCTACCAAGGCTTCTAAAGAAGGCAACATGATCATAGATTCTGGAACAACACTGACTTTCTTGCCTACAGATTTGTACAGCAAGCTCATAAAAGCATTGGAGAGAACGATTAAGTTGAGACGTGTCAACGATCCATTGATAATTTTGGACTTATGCTACTATTCTAAGAAGTATATAAAAGTTCCAGTGATTACTGTTCACTTTAAAGGAGCTGATGTGAAGTTGAAATCAGAAAACACATTTATCGAACTGAAAAAGAATGTCTATTGCTTGGCATTCGGACCAGCAGTAGAAGTTGGCCTTTTTGGTAACTTCGCACAACGAAACTTCCAAGTAGGCTATGACCTAATCAAGAAGACTGTATCCTTTAAGCCCACTAATTGCAGTAGATCTTGATAAATATATAATGTGTCTTACGAATAAGTCTTTCATATTTTTAAATGATGTTTGATATGTAATGAATAATTTTAGCAGGTAAAAAAAAAAAAAAAAAAAAAAACCCTTTCTCATCCAAACCATCACCGTTGACTAGAAGAAGAGTGAATTGTCGGCCAGAAGAATAGATTCACCCTTGCTACGCAATGGTGGTGGCGACGATTTTGCGAGGTGAATCTGGAATCGCCAACCAGAGGATGGGTGAATTGTCGGCAGAATGGAGCGATGGTGTGTGTGTTGGCCGAGTTGTGGTGGTCGTTGGGGGTGGCGTATTTGGTGGTTAAGGTCAGTGTGCATTGTCGAGCGTTCACAGCGCCGACGTGCAGTAGTTTGTGTCAGCGATTCCAGATTAGGCATTCACAGGCCAGTGTGCAGTCCCTCAAAGCTGCTCGTCGAGATGGTCGTTGTGTTTTGGTGTTATAGTGGCGATGATGTCGATGGTGATGGTGGTGGTGGTGGTGGTGGCTATGGGCGGTGTTGACGGTGGTTTTATGGCCGTGGTGCGGTGTTTTGGAGTGGTGGGTGTTGGGAGTTCTCTATTAGGCGTTCACAAGCCGGTATGCAGTGGTGTGGTGCTTTGTTGGATCCAACGATGGCGAAGGTAACGTTGGATATGGTGGTGTTGTGGTTCTGATGGTGGCGGTGGTGGTGGACATTGTGCGTGAGATGGTGGCGATGGTTATGGTGATATGTTGGTGGCGTGGGTCTATTGAGGTAGTGGTGGATATGACACAACGATTTGTTGATTTGAGGTGGTGATGTTGTCGTCGAGAGATGGAGATGGTGGTAGTTATGACGGTGACGATAGCAGTGGAGGTGGGCTATTACAAGAAGTGGCTAAGCGGTGGTCACATGTATTGTGACCAACTAATAAGTTGAATGTAGCCAATAATTGGTTAATTTGTAATAAATAAATAATGTGTGACCTAAAAATTGTGTTTGTGACTTATAATTTATTGAGTCGTGATCGAAAAATTAATCTGTTACCTATAAAATTTTTGATTCGTGACCCAAAAATAATATGTGATATATAAAATTTTTAATTTGTGACCGAAAAATAAGTTGTGGCCAATAATATGATGAGTCGTGACTAAAAATTAATTCATGACTAATTATTTTTTGATTTGTGATCAGTAAACAAATTGTGACTTACAAAATTTTTGAATTATGATCGTAAAAAAATTTGTGACATAAAATTTTTGATTTGTGACCAAAAAATAATAAGTAACTAATTAAATTGTTAATTTGTGACCAAATTGTATAAATCCGTAACCTAAATATATTTAATTAATAAAATAATTAATTAACTAATTAAATCATAAATAAATTTTAATAAAATTTTGATTTTTGAAGTTTGAAACTTATTTTCTTAATTTTGAAATGTGTGATACTTAAATTCTTACTTATGAAATTTTTCCTAATTTGTTTCATTTCTAATTTTTTAAATTTTGGCTAAATTACCTATTTTATTGTTTCATTTCTTAGCCCAACAAAATCCAACCCACCAAATAACCCTAAACACCTACATTGAAGTGCATAATGCTGTCTCGACTCTCGCAACCTTGCTGACATTCCAAAACCTATACAATCGCCAGCGGACGCTATGACTTCCACCGACCGAAACTTTGACCGTAGCGATCATTTGAACAAGATAGTCTATTAATCTCTGATATTCCAAACTCATTGAATGTATCATTAGTTGTATTTATATAATATTATTATAAATGTTAAAAAATTTAATTATAGTACGAAACCGAACCGAACCGAACGGAACCAAACTCGAACGGTTCCATAATTATATTTGGATCCGGTTCTTTCACCCACCTCTAAAATGAACACTCATCTCTTACCCTAAACGATGTCGTTTGAAACCCAACTCAATTCCAAGCGACTAAATGGCTAAGCTGACCACAAATTCGGCTTGTGAATAGTAATTCACAACTGCCCTTTTACTTTTAGTTAGATTTTATATAGGATGATTGTGTACTTTTTATGTATTAAACAATTTAAAATGGTGCTTTCAATAATTCATGCAACATTTAAACCCTGTCCGTAACATATTTATCTTCATTTTCTAACAAATTTTCAATTGCTCAAAAATGGATGACCATAATATAAAATACTGCATAATAGGAAAATCTAAAATTAAATATTAAAACAAACTTATCTCAAATAAAATAATAAATCATGCCACTAGCCATAATAAAATAAAAATTGGGAGCCACCACCCTGATTTTTTGTTGTCAAACTTAAAATTGTTAAATTGTTTATTAACCGTAAATATAATTCAAATTCTCCTATTTTTAAAATGGTAAGTTTGAATTTGTTAACTTTGAAATCGTGCAATGCCTAATTTCCTTATCCAATTTCGAGTGAGTTTTAGCAGGGATTTTTAAAACAATTCAATCCATTCTGAAATCTATGTGGTCATTTGAGTCTTAAATGAGCTTTGATACCCTATTAAGATTTAGAGTTTCATATTTAAATGTCACATTAATAAGAAGAGTTTCACAAAGTCGTATATGCTAATTGATATTTCACATTTATATGATGTGGGATCTATCCCTTAGTATCGCACTATAATTGAATCTTGCATCAATTAAAAGAAATAAATGCACTCCTTAATGGAGACTTGGAAGGAGTGCACATGGAGGTAGGTTTTGAAGGAACGTTTGTTTTGACATGGTATGTAAAATAAATGAGCCTCTTTGTAGTCTAAAATAGCAACCATGAGCCTTGTTTGATACATGGGAAAAACCATTTATACAGTCTCCTCACATGTTGAGGGGTCCACATGAATAAAAAATGCATGGACCCTTTCATTGTGAGGGGGTTGTAAGAGCGCACAGCATTTAATGCTGCACATCAAGCTTCATTCTTGATATATTCACAAGGTCTACTCATGCTATGTATATACTCGAAGAAATTAGGCCACTTAATGTTTCTTTAAATATAAAAGCAATAATGGTATTTCTTTCTTTTTTGTTTTTTTTTTTTTTTTGTATTATGATATTATAGTGACTACGAATGACTTACCACTGATGAAATATTAAAATAGACATTTTGAGTCAATTGACATACTTTACTAAGATGAAGGCAGTAAGATCACATAATCGCATATTTGTTTTACAAGGGAAGTACACCTCCAGATCTTCTCAAGGAGACATGTATACATGGATGCAAGCTGGTGGCACCAATCAAATCAAACAAAGCCCCTATTTGGTGAGGAGTAAAATTAGATTTTTGGTAGATTTTGATTAAAAAATTGATGAAATATTTTGTTAAAAGGTTTTGGATTCCTGAAAATATTTGGTTAAAATTATTTGTTGACTTCTACTTAGAATAAAATCAATATTTTAATTTATACCAAATGGGGCCAAATATAAAGCAAGGATTTTGCTGTTTGTACATCCGGGGTTGACACACCTAGGATGACAGCCATTCACAAGAGAGGGAGCTACGTGTAATAATATAGTCGCAAGCTCCCCTCTTGTGAAGGAATGTCAACTCTAAATGTACAAATAGCAAAACTCATAAAACAATGTACCATAGAGGAGAACATTGAATGTTGGAAAATATGAGAGATTTGTGATAAACCTATTTATTTATTCCACCCGAAAATATGGTATTTACTAATATTGTAGTAAGTTGATACATGCATTCTTCAATGGAATATATAGAAGCTATATGTAGTGAATACAATGTATGATGAAATAAGTTTATTTCTTGTGTACAGTAGCATATAAACTGGTTAACTCAATTTTAAGATATTATATTTTATTCCATAATCTCTTAGATTATGGTTTTAATGTTTATTATTTTTGCAAGATGGCGTACCATCTAGACACCAGTATGAGAGCTTATTTGGAGAAAGTTACATCGTATTGTAACTTTTTCAACCATGCGATAGCGCTAGAGGGGCTCGATGAGGAGCATATAGTACGAATGACAAAAAACTCATCAAACCCAATGCCCACAAGGCCTACAAGATTGCCCTCTTAATCAAGTATTTGAGTTAGGGAGGAGGCAAGAGATTTCGTCCCAGGGAGGGTCGGGTAACAAAGGCCCCATCCCGCCAAGCCTCGTCTTGCCCCGTTTAATTATTTTTTTTAGGAATTCAATACTTTAAATGGAAGACTTTACGAAATTTCATTAATTCTAATAAAATATGGAAATTAAGATTATTTAAAGAATATGACAAATAATAAAACAATTAATCTACCAAATATACTTCAATAATTTAACTCTTAAAAACAAGTTAATTATTAAAAAATTTAATAACTACATTATTGTCTCACTTTAATGAATAGGGGCAATAAAATGAATTATCAAAAGCTAAAAAAAAAATAAAAGTCAAACAGGTACTGAAGGGGCAAGGGCCATATCCCCACCCAACCTTAAAACGAGGTAATGGAATGGGTACAAAGCGAAAAATTACATAGTGGGGTCGAGGGCGAGGGAGGTTGTCCCTCCACAAACTCGACCCGTTGTCATCCTTAACACGTAGCCATACTCCACTGATTTCTGGTCAGATTATTGATTAGCTATTACTTTGGTTGCTTAAGCTAGTTGACGGCAGTGAATTGGATTTTACCCTTGGGGGATAGGAAGGTGTGGAGATTCTTGATCCTTGAGTTTGCCCTCATTTTTGGCTTGAAGTATAATGCTGAAGAAACAACAATGACTTGTATTATGATAAATAAAAAGGTTGCTAGATTTATATTTTGGAGATGAAGTGCCTGTTACACCCCCACAGTTAGAGGATGCATTAGCCACCTCCCATGTGGATCACTTGCACCCAATTATACTTACTATTCTAATGATTTCTTTACACGTCTGATTATTCTTATCAGGGAGGAGATGGGAACAATGTGATGGGAGTTGAGACATGATTTCGTGGTGAAGTTAGAAGTGCTACAAGAGGAGATAGGTGTGCTATGATGGATATAGGAGATTTTCAT